CGAGAGCATGATGATCTCTGGATGGCACTGTGTGATCACACTCATCTTGTATGTTCCAGGCTGGGGGGGCTTGGGATTGGGGATTTGGGCACAGCTTGGCTGGAGAAAAGCCACAGAGGGAGCTGGTCACCAGGCTGTGGCTGGGAGAGTCCATCCTGGTTGAGGAATTGGCTATTAGGGTTTTAGGTGCCAGGGGTGAGGGTGGGCTGAGGAAGGTACATATCCTCTTCCTGTTCTCCTCATTCACTGCCCTTCACTTTTCCATATAGCTGGCACCCAATGCCCCTGTCCCTGTCCCTGTCCCTGTGTCCTCCTTCCGAGATTTCTTGCAGGGGGCACTGAAATCGCCCCAGGTATGAGGAGACACACCTCCATTGAAGGAAGTAGATGTGACCATGGCAGCTCCATTCTCCACCACAGGGGGCAGCGAGTCCTCCGTTTGCTTCCTGGAAGTGGCTATGTCCCTCTCCTCAGGGGAAGGGGTGGTCTCCACAGGCAAGGCCTCAATCTCTGTCTCTAAGAGTTGAGACACAGGACTCTCTTCCTCCAGAGGCAACTATTAGCCACTGCTTTCGCCGTCTGTGGTGGACAGGGCCATGGGCTCCTCTGACAGTCAAGAGGGGGACAATCTCAGTCTTCTGTTTTGCCGTGCACTTGAAGACTTGCTCAGCTCTTGGCCAGCTTCCAGGTTCTGTCCAGGTGAGATCTGCAGGGGAGACATGAGGCTTTTGTCTCCATCCTTGCACACTTCCTCCTCCTCCTCCTCCTCTTCCTCCTCCTCCTCTTTGTCCTCTTTGTTCCACCCTTGGCATTCCTGAATTTGTTCCAGATCTACTTCAGAATCAGTGGCCTCCTCCTCCTCCTCTACCTCGCCCTCTTCCTCCTCTTCACTCTCTTCCTCATCGGTCTCCACTTCGGATGTGGTAGGACATTCCTGAGACACTAATCCACTAGGACCCTCACCAGAATCTGAGGAGGCTTTGGGGGGCATCTACAGAGTGGGAAGAGGTGGCTTTGGGGTGCTGGGCTCTTCTTTTCTGCCTTTCGCCCTCCTCATTCTTGTTTTGCAGCACTATGTACTTGGAGATGCCCTCATCCAGCTGGCTCATAGCCAAGTTCCGGTCCGCCCCCCCCC